GGTGCTGCAGCGTAAATGGCTGCCCACTGCTCCGGGTGTGTGTTCACGATGTGTGTGTGTGTTCACTGCTGTGTGTGTGCACTTTGGATGGGTAAATGCAGAGCACTAATTCCGAGTATGGGTCACCATACTTGGCCACATGTCACGTCACTTAAAAAGAACATTATTTTGTGTATTTGGTGTAATGAAATGTGTTTATGCGGTTTAAGGTTCAAAAAACACATTATTTTCCACATACTGTACATTATTGTTTCTCCTCTATGCCCCGCTTTTCTGAAACGCGTTGATTTTTACAAAGCTCATCGGTCTGAAAAGCGAGGTGTGCTCTGATTGGCCAGCTATCCAGTGCGTTGTGATTGGCCGAATACCTCAAGCGTGAGACGGAAATGTTACGCCCCTCACCATACTGTGATGATGCCCTGTCCGGCCGGAGCGACGAGACAAAAACATTAAAACCCATTATAAACGAGGCATTTGTTGCATCCAGTGGGGACATAATTACGGATTATAATGATTTATACTGTATTTTTAGGCGTTGCATCGCACTGGTAAACATAAAACTATGTCTGCATTTGTGATCGGAGAAATGACAAACAACAAGCGCTACTCTACACTGCTCAAAACTCGTGTTTGAATCGTCAGTGGCAAATTCTTTAAATATAAAAAACGTACTTACAGTCTGTGAGTCAGAACAGCCGGCATTGTAGTCTACTCTACCAGGATCAGGAAACGGTCCTCCATAAAATGTGCTGGACACATCTGAATATTTGGGTTGAAGTGTTCTGGAACAGTGTTGTAAATACAACTTAACCACTGATTTCTAGTCGTGTCCTCTTTTGGAAGGCCAAACAAAGTAGTTTCGCTTTCACTATGAAACACACGGTGTGCTAGAGTGAGCGGAGGGCAGCGGGCTAGAGTGAGTGCAGGCCGGCTTGAGTGAGCGGAGGCGGGCGGGCTTGCGAACGGCGCGGCCGGCGGATTCGACGAAGGAGCATCCGGCGGGCTTGCGGCAACCACATGTGACGACCCCGGGCTGGACTCTGCTTCGTCCATGGTGAAAGCCGATCCGGCGATCCACAGCGCGAAGTTGATGTATTTCCTCAGCGACCAGCACGGATCAGCTCCAGGCATGACGAAGCGGATATCGTCCTCTTTTGGAAGGCCAACCAAAGTAGTTTCGCTTTCACAACGAAACACAGCGCCTTCACGACATGGCGGCAGCGGCAACAACAATACTACAGCAAGAATAAAAGTTACACCTTCTTTCTTTGCGTGAACATTTGGGCGGCGTTATGCAAATCTTCCCACATCGTGACGTAGACGTGGGGGCGTGTTAGAATGAGCCGTTTTAGGTAGGCGTGGTTGACTCTTAACTTTTATAAAGAATATCTCTTTGGATTTGAGACTTTAATCTTTGCAACTTTACAGATCTTCTTTATGCACCAAGAGCTTGTAACACTCCAAAGAGAAAGGAAAATTTGAAATCGAATCATATGACCCCTTTAATATATTTTAGACCTTCACTTCTGTGTTCTGTCTTTGTTACTTCAGTTTTCCGCTACAAAAAGGGCTGAGAAACTACAAAAGTATCAGACAATAAGAAGGTGAGTTTTAATTACATAAGAAGATAACTCTATATTCCAAAACATAATCTCAAGGTGTGTAAACTAATTGTCTTTACTCGTTTTCTCTCTGTGTTTGTCACACCCACATCCACACACATACTGAAGTCGAAGAACAGCACCATCTGGCTCCACGCTGACAGTTTCCCTGCCAAATGCAAAATCTGCACCTGTCGCTGTGTGAGTAAATGAACCTTCTCACTTCCTTCTCATTCATTGGTTATACATTTCTCTTCGATTATCTTTTCTTTGTCTCTCTCTCGCTCTTTTCAATCCATCAGGAAGACATCTAATCAGACTAGGAGGGGTGGGGCAGTGTTAAGGGGCAGATCATCTAGAGGAGCCGGTACTTCGTCATCTATGGGGATTCCTCTGCAATTTAACTACAAAGCAACTACTAACCAGGTGACTTTAGCCTTCCAGCAGAGCCTGTATACCCAGTACGGTGGGAGAGTCAGACATTTATTGCATTTTATTAGCCTTACGTGTGTCAAGACAGCAAAATTGTATTCTTTTTTGTAAACTTGGATGATTAAACTTAAACTCTTCAGCTTTTAGAGCCTCTGTTTTTATTTTGTTTTGTAGACTGCCGTATACCTTAATGACCGTTTCACTGACCTGAGGTTAAGAGGGCAAGGACGAGGCCGGGAAAGAGGTGATGGAAGAGGAAGAGGAGCTGTTGGAGGAGGTGGAAGAGGTGGAGGAAGAGGAAACATTGTTGGGGGTGGACGAGGTAGAGGACAAGGAAACATAGGTGGGGGAAGAGGCAGAGGAAGAGGAAACTTTATGGGTGGTGGAAGAGGCAGAGGAAGAGGAAACTTTATGGGGGATGGCAGAGGCAGAGGAAGAGGAAACTTTATGGGTGGTGGAAGAGGCAGAGGAAGAGGAAACTTTATGGGGGATGGCAGAGGCAGAGGAAGAGGAAACTTTATGGGTGGTGGAAGAGGCAGAGGAAGAGGAAACTTTATGGGGGATGGCAGAGGCAGAGGAAACATTATGGGGGGTGGCAGAGGCAGAGGAAGAGGAGGGGTTGGTGTGGCAAGAGGAGGAAGAGGCTTGAGAAGAGGAAGTGGAGGATCAAGAGGAGCCGATCGAACAGTAACTCTTCAGTGATTACAATTACAACCAATTTTATGAAGTAATAGTGTTTTGGTAAAAAAAAATTTTTGGTGCATCACTATTTAATGTCATGATGTCATTCAACTAAATATTTGTAACATTTCTGACAGCGGAATAAGGGGGTTTCATTGCAGTGTACAAACAAAAAAAATTTCCTTTCTAAAAGAAAATTTAAATTATTGATTGTTATATGATGAAGGTTTTTACATTTTTAGGTTATGAAAAAATAAAATTTTAAAAAGTACCTCAGAGGGTAATGAAGTGCCTCTTCAAATTCAGTGTAAATACTGTTTTGCATTCTGACATTAGAAGGTAAAGTCAGTGATAAAAACTGAATCCTATACTTTAAAAAAAATGTAAATATATCAAAAGTTGTTTACATTTGATATCATCATATCAATAAACACCAAACAATGGACATTGTTTATTTTTTGAAGAATTATTTTGTGATGTCTGTCTGTTTATTTGGACATGCTGCTTAAAGGGATAGTTCACCTAAAAATGAAAATTCTGTCATAATTTACTGACTTTCATGTCATTCCAAATCTGTATGACTTCTTTTGTTCTGTGAGCAATTTTGACTACCAATGATTTACATTGTATGGACAAAGTTTCTAACAGTGTCTTCTGTGAGTGAGTTAATGATGACAACATTTTCATTTTTGGGTAAAACTATCCCTTTATGCAAAAGTCTTTTGGCTACTTTAGTGGATATTGAGACATTTTTATGCCATGTTCCAAGTGCTATTCACCAATTTCCAATATAAAAACTGGCAATTTATTAACACATACAGTATATTCCAGATGTTTCATTATTCTTGATGTTACTTTTTAAATGTTTTCTTATTTATCTAATTAAAAAAGATCAGCATTTTTTTTATTATTAAAAATTATCATTGTTCTCATGTTGTCAGTCCCTTTCATCATTTTGGTGAGAAAACAAGCACAAGCATGAGCAAGTGTTAACAATGGAAGAATTCTATGATGTTCTGTCACATTAGTTGTTTTGTCTCACATGATGTTATCAAAATTAACATCAGGTTGAAGGCCTCATATAAGCTAACAGTAAATCCTTCACTTTGCAATGACTAACCTCAGGTCACTTCTTGAAGACTGTTAATTTTATTGCCATAGTTACTATAGTTAAACCATGGTAACAACAAATTACCCATGGTTTTGCTACACTAAACATACAGGTGCATCTCAATAAATTAGAATGTCGTGGAAAAGTTCATTTATTTCAGTAATTCAACTCAAATTGTGCAACTCGTGTATTAAATAAATTCAATGCACACAGACTGAAGTAGTTTAAGTCTTTGGTTCTTTTAATTGTGATGATTTTGGCTCACATTTAACAAAAACCCACCAACTCACTATCTCAACAAATTAGAATACTCCATAAGACCAATAAAAAAAAAAAATCATCACAATTAAAAGAACCAAAGACTTCAACTACTTCAGTCTGTGTGCATTGAATTTATTTAATACACGAGTTTCACAATTTGAGTTGAATTACTGAAATAAATGAACTTTTCCACGACATTCTAATTTATTGAGATGCACCTGTAGTTTAACCATTAACCTTCCCAGGCAAACATACAAAAGCAGACAAGCGACTGGAGACTCCATAGACGAAAGACTCTCACTCAAACAGCCGCTGCAGTCGCAGAATAAGGCGTTTTGAGCTCTGATTGGTGTTTATCACGCGACGTCACTTTTCCGCTATTTCCATTTCTAGTCTAGTCAAAATGGCGGATTAACAACAAACGAACGGTTTCGTATTTGCAACGCAAGAGCTGTGTAAGTCGCAATATAGATTGTTTACAGATGTGCAACTGGTTGCAGCATCAGATATGTCTTCATTGCGTCCTCCAGCGGCGTTAATATAGTTGACAACAAAAGGTTGTCTGAGGTTTGAACGAGGCCAGGAGGACTAGAGACGTTAGCCCGTTCGCTAACTTACACACACAGGCTGTCTATTTTAGCCTGGTGAGCTACACACATAGACGGCTTTTCGGGGGTCTGTCGGCGCCCCTGATGCTCACGAACGCTGTCTAGGTAACTTAGGCAGCTCACTAGGTTTGGAGACAGTCGCAGAAAGAGTCATGGAGACATCACCACCAGCAGGTCTATGTGTATTGAAAGATAATGTTATAACTTTATACAGCCAGTGCTTGTAGTCGTGCCGTGAATTTTATACGAACAAGGTGTTTACAGGATATATGGACCACTGCCTTATTGTGCAGTCAAATGTGGGCATAACAGGGCTGATGTTGTAATCCAGCATCTTTTAAAGCTGCTTTGCATCTTCAAAGTCCTGCATCCTGCTGTCCCGCTTTCGGTTTAGATCAAGACGTGGAAAAATGGCAATTTACTAGTATTACATTGTTCTTATTCTCAGAAGTCTTGTCATTAAGTGAAGTACTTTCACTTTTGTTTGTCAGGTATGCAGGGTCCTGTCCCACAGACTAGATGTTTTTGAGTAGCTGCTTCTTAAATATATTATATGTAGTCCCCCAATCATGAATAAATGGTTACATGATTGTATAAACAGCACTGTTGCAGTGATCTAAGTGCAGTACATTTCTGCTGTGTTTTAGAAAGTTGACATGGCAGACAAAAAAGGGAAATCTGTGGCGGTGAAGAGGACGCTAACAAAAAGAGAGCAAGAGGAAATGAAGAAAAAGGTAAGCACTTTGAGATGCCCAAGATTATTTTGTGTTGTTGTCTTGTACAACATTTCTCTGTCTCCCTGTTAACAGGAGGAAGAGAAAGCTGCTGAAGTCTTTGAGGAATTTATAGCTTCTTTTGACACTAATGACAAAAGTGGAGTGAAGACATTTGTACGAGGAGGCATTGTAAATGCAACTAAAGGTAAGTTGTTGTGCTTTTCTTATAGTATATATTAATATTTTGAATTAGCCTTTATTATATTCAGTTTTATATTGCCTTTGCAATTTTTATCTAGTAGTAATATTTTATTTCAGCTCTTTTTCAACTTGTTGTAGATGTAGTTTTAGTTACAATAACGAAACTAATCTAATTTCTGTTTCAGTGAAATATAAAATATGTTCCCTAGTGTGACTAAATGTCTCTTTGTTTGGGTGTTTAAACACCTGTGTTTCTAAATCTCTGTAGTTTGACACAATAAACCAGTGATCTGGTTACTGATTTGCTGAACCGCCCAAGCTGACTTTGTGTATTAGTGTAATGCTTATATGTTGCTTGCAGGAAAAAGTTTAGAATTTGAATTGTGGGCTACTATACTATAAACTATAAATCTAAGCTGTTAGATAAAAAATGGAGGAAGGAGCGAGTTATGATTGCATGTTTTTGTTGTTGTTCATTTCTCAGAGGAAGAATCCGCAGAGGTGAAGAAGAGCAAACTCTACAGACCCGCCTCTAAATTCACTTCTCCACATCAGAATACCTCACCTGTTCAACCTGCAGAAGTTAAGAAAACTGTAAGTGACCTTCCGTCTTCTGTAGTCAGATGAGCTTAATATCCTTTGAAGAGGTAAGACTGGGTTAGAAGGAACGTGATGAGAAGACCACCATAATCCGCATAGATGAATCACAAAATACAATAATGCAAAATACAATAATTAGTCTTAACGTTTTTGTTGTTTTTCCATTCTAGACCGTTAAAAAGAAAGTGGAGGAGAAGAAGAAGAGTAATCTGGAGCTCTTTAAAGAGGAATTAAAACAGTCAGTGCTTCTCTCAAAATTCACTTCATCTGTTTTCTAAATCCATGTTATTGATTTTACTGTGATTGATTCATCCTTGTATATTTTCAGCAATCAACAACTGATGGATAGAGTTCCC